TTAAGTTAACTCTTTCTTGACTGCAGTTAACAGCAATTGTGACTGCCTGGATACCTCAGGGTGATCTTCTCTGGCCTGCTGTTGAAGATCCAGACTGATCGGGAGAAAAATTACGAAGTCCGAAGCTTTGGGGCTAGTTGTAGTGCTCTTTCCCAACGTCTCCCGGTATAACGTCGAAGACGTTGGTGTCTAAAGCACCTTTTTTATTTGCAGATTCAGTTGTTTTGGTGATCTTAGATGGGGAAATTGGTTAGTGATACTTGTCCAGTGGAAGCTATCCCGTTGGCTCAAGTTTTTTTTCCTTCATAGCTGTTATAGGTTTGCCCAGCGCAGACCTTGAAGAGAATCAGTGATTCCTGGTTAAATGCTTAGAGTCGAGAGGGTAATATAGGGTCGTCGGTCACCGGGTTTTCCAGCCTTGCGAAGAACAACTCCGCAGGTGATGTCTGCTAGTGAATGGCTGACTTGGTTTAATAGTGCCCGTTTTTAGTTTATATAGTCTTTTAGTCGACGAATCGCTTCCAGAAATAGTAGTAAAAATGTATTTGTTGGCAAGGTAGTTTACACTTAGGTGGCCCCTAAAAAGAACCGATGAAATTGATGGTTAAGTAGGGAACGTAAATATTTATAACGGCCCTAAAAAGCACCAGTGGTGAAACTTCCAGGCTATTCTTTATTATTATTTCTAATGATGAAGAGCTGGCTATGGGTAGCTTGATTCTTACCCTGGGAGTCTCTATGTACGGAGATTGTGATGGAGGGAGGTGCGCCGCTGACCAAAGAATATCTCGTCTTCGGGTCGTTCTCCGGATAACCAACCGCTCATTGTTAGGCGGGAACATGTGGGTAAGCGCGTTGGAAACGCGACGACCAAGAAGGTAGCCGTGGTGGCTGCCCATGCCCCTCAGAGCTGTTTTCCCTGGCTTACATTTGTAGCCTAAGATTCTCAAACTGCACCAGGCGGGATGGTGGGACGACTGCCACACAACTCTGAAAAGTTGGTGCAAATTGTGCTCTGGCTAGTTATGTCTCTTGGTATTATGCCAGAGGCGTCATCGGTTGGAATGAATTTTTTTTTATCGCATTTGTCGAGTTTCAGGATCAATGGACACCTAGGTCCTTTCCCCCTTACAGAAGAGTGTTGTCCGTAACTGGGATACCCAGCTGCAAGACTATCATCAGCATTCTCTATACAGCTCGTTGAACTGCCGAAGCACGACTGCATCACTATCGAGACGCTCCAGCTTATTATAACCACACTTCTTTAACTCTGTTGCAGGTAGCCTGTATTTTATGGTGACGCCACCTAGCAGATTTTACTGAACTAAAGTGAAAAGCTGGCGTATTTTTGCAAAACTTTGAGCGTATTTATTGATACTGTTAATAAATTTTTCAAGATAAAAACCATACGAAAACCATTTAGGAAGTATCATGAATCAGTGTGCAAAATTTCAGCAAAATCGGTTCAGTAGTTTTCGCGGTTAGCAATTACAACGGTTTTAGCGACTTTGCTTTAAATATTAGTAAGAGTAATATTTACAGAAGAAGACATTTTGAACAGAATAAATTAACTGATCGTTACTTTGACAATTCGGGATTCATTTTTAAATACAACATGAAAATAAGAAGAATAATAAAATAAAACGTTTGACGGAACAGTGTGCATTACCTCAAGGTAAGTACGTTTTTATAAAAAAAGCCCATAAGAAATGGTTAGTACGGTATATGTGCACCTAGTTGAAGTTTTGCTCCAAAAAATAAAGTTTTTACTGAAAATGTTATTAATAGACGTTTAGGAACAATACAGTGTATTCAATTACGTTGTTATGAAAAAGGTTTTCTATAAATATTAGGTCTTTCAAAACTCTATTGTTACAGTTTAATAAATCTTTTATGTAACCTAAAAACGATTAAAGTCGTACCTCTTTGTTTGGATGAATGAGAAAGAGAGAGAGAGAGAGCTGTAAGAGTAGAGTAAATTTGTAATTTGAGTAGTAGGTATGCTCTCTCTGTGTGAGTCTGTGTCTTGTTAGGTATTTACTAGACAAGGATAGCTCGTTTTTCCTTATGTGTGGGGGAAAATTTCTTGAGGTAATCGATGGTGTGAGGCGTACTCGAGTTCGGTTTTTCGTTCTGTTCGGCCGGAGCAAGCAACTGGGAAGCCACGGAGTCGACTCTTCTTCAAACTTGGAGATTTGAAAAAGCGACAAGACTACAACTTATCAATTGCTGTGGACTTCATCAGCAACGAGCAGCCTTTTGGAGGCACCGACAAATACATTGTTTTTTCTTCGTCAAATCGAGGCCTTCGTCTCACCTTAACATCTGCGAGCAAGATTAGTAACACAGTGCAGGTATTTTGTAATTTTACTATAAGAAGAGATAATAGCAGTGTATTTAGCGAGAGGCCAGGCAACGATATTATTCGAGACCTTTCGAAAGGTAAAACAAAAACAAATAAAGTCAATTTCGTTCCATAAGTTAAGAAATTTGTTCTTGCTATTTATTTAGTTTTCCCTTCCTTTACTATCAACCATGGCAAAATTTGTGGCAGTTGCTCCCCGTATGATAGTCAATAATTCGATTGACTTAAAGTGTCAACACTCTTTTTGGTAACAAAAAGCATTTTTCAAATCTGGTAAAAAAAAGTTTTAAGTCATTATATTTCGTCAATTATCATTTTGCGTTGTTACAAAAATTTCAAGACGTTGATTGGCGTTGCAATACATATAAGTACGTTTGTACTGCCCTAATAACTTAATAACCGCAAATAATAAGTTTCCAACAGAAAGTCATCGTGAATTTAAAACAATACTTTATTAATCGTAGTCTCGTACCGTCAAAAAATGCAAGCCAGAGCTCGTAGGATTCCCAAGCCAGAAGACAAGCTATTGGAAGATAAAATAATACTCTGCGCCAGCCACTTCTAGTCGCAAGTGTTAAAGACCAGCAGCAAATTTCGAAGTTTTCATTATCCCTATGAAAACAATAATAATTTTTTTCCATTAATTCGTATAAAAGAATTTTCATAATACATTCTACTAAAATTTTTTCGTAAAACTCTTTTTTTTTTGGAAAAAAAAACATTAAGCTACATCTTCAACAATAACAGACAAATTTATTTATTTTTAGTATAAGTTAAATCAAATAAAAATAACTTCAATTGTCAGTAGTTAAATAATTTCACTAGCATCTACTTAGTAATAAATTAATGACAAGTTAATTTAAAATAAGTATTTTTTAAAAATTGTGTAGCATAATGTTTTAACAAAAGTTCTATTAACATATTTAGGTAAAAAAGGTTTAAAAAATCTAACTTTCGTAATATTTGAAATATAACCTATAATTTTTATAAAAATCAAGATTATCTTACCTTTGACAAATTTTAAT